TTCCTACATTTTCTAAAAATGGTTAATTTTACGTATCAGGGTTAATGGTTAATTTTAGGTACTAGGGTCTGGGACAGGATGTCTAAAGTGAATACACGTAATTTCACGCTTTGGGACGGTAGTATTTGTGCATTTTCTACACTTTGAAAAATTACGACAACAGATTCCGCCCCATCCCGTCAAAATATGACGCAAGGGGGGTAACTGATGCGTCAAAATTGGACGCAAAGGGACCTTTGAAAAACGTCAATATGTGACGACTCGGGAGTGAGAATGGGTTGGATTGCTGGATATGAGTACGAGCTCCCTGCGACTTGAAAAGGTAGAAGTGGGTGAAATATAATATAATACGTTAAGTATTTTTTATGTTCATGTCAGTAGTTTAAGAACAATGTAGATATGATATCTAGTTCCCAATCATCTCTTGCTGTAGTAAATCAAATTCTAATCACATGCAAATGTTTACTGAACTTGGGACTATTTCTGGTTTTGCATCTTGTGAAATATGCATTTACGTATGTGTTGGTACATTATACATGAGTAAAAAGAACTCCTGGTGTATGCATGTGTCAGTTTGTATGAGCTCACCCAGCACACTAACTGTAATGGTTCCTTTCACTTCACACTAGCGGTCAGTCTTGTCACACACACCAGACTGCAGCCAATAGGTCACCCAACACACATGTTCACAGAACATCTATGCTGTTAGACTAACTCATTTTCCTAGTGTGTCCATGTTGAGTGCACAGGAGAACATCAGCAGTTTTGAATGTTCTACCTATTTCTTTTTGATTTACATATAAAAAAGAATTAAGAAAACCTTCCTGCAACAAAGGCAAATAAAACAAATGGCATCAAAATGGAATACAATTAGACCTGAGCATCTCATGACAAGTTTAAGTTGTTGAAAGATTTTGTCACATGCCACTCAAATGTCCAAAGAAATAAATAATTTGCAAAAAAAAAGCATGGARGATTTAATTTTTTTTCTAAGGGTACACCGATAAATCAGATGACTTCCTTAAAGAGGCGATATCATAAACTTTTTTAAGCTTTATCTCATGTTATTCCCTCATCAAAAATATACCCAGAGTACTGCTTTGACTCATACATGCATGTTTGTGAAATCCCGTAATGTCCTATGGTAGCTATTCAGGAGTACAAAAATGGCTGGTTGGCCCGAGAACCCAGTGTTGCCAGCTCCTCAGTAAGAAAAGTGGCTATTGGCCATCCTGAAAGTCCGCTAGAAGTTGCTAGATGGCATCATCACGTAATTTGCATATTTGGGCATTTGCCAAAAATTATCTAAGCTACAAGAGAGTTATATATTAGGGTTAAAGAGGGAAAAAATTAATATGTTTAGAATTGCAATTGAGCTTTATGGAATCAAAATATTTCATGATCTCACTGCTTAGATCAGGGGTGGGCAATCCTGGTCCTCGAGGGCTGCAGCCCTGCACGTTTTACTTTTATCCCTGCTTCAACACAGCTGATCAGTGAAGTCAGTGAATTACCTCTTCCAAGTTCTGCAGAAGCCAGATAATCACCCATTCATTCAAATCAGGTGTGTTGAGCAGAGAAACATCTAAAACAGGCAGGACTGTGGRCCTCGATGCCCATCCCTGGTTGAGATCCACATACATAAATAAATTTGAGAATCTTACATTTAACCAGTAGACTGTTAGATGTCACAAAGCACACGCAAAAAAACAAACAAAAAAAAAAC